AAAAAGTTATGAACGAAAAAGCGTCAAAGCATTTCACCGAACACTTTTGAGCGCTACTGTAGGGGTGGTTACTGCGTGCTTTTGTTCCAGGAGTTTGTGTTTTTCTTTTTTTACTAACCGATTATGTCACATGGCTCACGCCATGTAATAAATAAATAAATATATATATAAGCAAGAAAAATGTTCGTTGACAAACACAACGAATATGGGTTAGTTTTATCAGCGACTAGATAGTCTTGAAGCAACGTAAAAAGAAATGTCTAGGACACCCGTTGCCAAAGGAGAAGGGAAAAACAAGCTGATGGTAACGCTCCGAAGGGAGCTAAGATGCTGAAAATGGTATCACTAAATGTTCCACCAGCTTGGTGCAGAAATTTGGCAAGGCTCACAAGAATCTCGATTAAAACGCTCGAGTGGAATGTGCTATTTCCACTAAGCATGATGGATTGCCAAAGAGAGCGAGTTCACACATAATTCCTACTAAGACCAGCAATACTGGGTTGAGAACTTGTAGATGACGACTGCACGTAATGTTAATAAGACAAAAGCCGCAGAAGATGTAAGAAAATCAAGCCAAAAGCGAGTTAACTTATTCAGGGCCTATCGGCTTGGTTTGGTGAGTTAGAAAATCGTGATGTACTAGACGATAACAGACTCACCATGAAAGTTTCCCACAGTGGCGTTGGTCACTACAGTCAGGTAATGTGGAGATCAGAGCACAATAATAAAATCAAACAAATATATGAATTGTTTCAGGTAGTCTGGCAATGGAACAAGAAAGTCAGTTGTGCAGTTGGATGATGTAGAGACATGACTCTTGTGGAATGCGAATATGCTCGAGCGTAGGTGTAATTCTGCATTGATTTGAAGGGTAATTCCAGTAAGAGTACTAAACTGCACAAGAAACTTCTAGAGGAAACTTCCTCGGATCTCTGATTTATGAGATTGGTGAACCGTGCAAGACTAAGAGGCGCTCTGCATTCCGCTACAATAATAAAGATAATAAATTTCTGTGGAACGATGAATTGACCCTGCGCAAGTAACTCACAAATATGTTGTATAGAACGCGTCAAAACAGTCAAGCTCTAACCATGCTCGCTACCATGCCAAGCCACTGTCAAGAACAATATTGGTGGACCGAGCACTGCTAAAGTATTGGTGGCGACAAGGTTTTCATCAGTGATACACTACCGCGAAAAACAAGTGCATCACCATTGCACTGCTCGAGCTATAAGATACCGCAAGTAGATTTTTGGAAACAGAGTAGCTCTATAAAGTGCTACATTGAAATTTCGAAAAAGTTGAATTTCGAAGCCCTCAGTCCGTCGAAGCTCTCAAAGGCACGTCATTAGCAGTGATGCTCGTCATAGTTACAATCGAATGCATTCTCTTTCATAGAAGGTGTTCAGGGAGTTGTGAAGCAGCTATAATATTACAAAACAAAACGAAAAATAGATCTGTTTAACTGATCATTCTGATAGCAACTTTTCGAAAGTGGACGAATTCAGTCACGCGTCAGTCCTATACGACAGAGGCTTTTTAAACAAAAAAAAGCAATTTAGATTTAGGCCCTAGCCTCAGTGAGTGATATGTCCATAATCCAGAAACAGCACTTCCTTGCAGTTTGCAAATTGGTCACTGGAGCTCAAGGGTAGAAGCTATCTAGTCATTTAAAATCCGGTAAGCGGCATCTTCTTACAATAGCATACGATTCCTAGCCATTTCGAGTAAGATTTTCGATGTTCACGAACACGCCTTTCACGCTCCTTCGGGAATGTTCGTACTAAGTTATTTGTGAATTCTTGAATTATTATTGAATTGAATTATTGTGAATTATAATTCAAATTATCGTGAATTATAATTTCAAAATCTGGCCACCTACGTCGAACTTCGGACTTCATACAGTGCGTAACAAAAGTATGTGAACACCTCATTATTTTGGTTCACCGGGCTTGTCAGTGAATTTTGAGCTATGATTCTTATATTATTAGAAGCGTCCGATCAAAAAACTAGAGATACCTGTTTTCGTGTAATCTTCGAGAAGCTCTTACTTTGTTTGATTCGATCTTCATCGTAACAAGACTAGGTGAACACCCGAAACATATACGACTTTGGAAGCGAAAACCTGAAGTGTTTGTGATCTTTTTGTTATAAACGTTTTATCGTTATGCCTGTCCGTGGTAAGCTTCTCTCTGAAGAAGAAAAAGCGCAGGACTCTGCATAAGGCTGGAACTCGAATAAAAGAATCGCACCTCAGCACGGACGCCCTCCTTCATGCATTGAAAAATATAATATGTTCAAAATCCCGTTGCCATCAGCTGAACTCATATAGTATGGCGAACTCGCAGCTGACCAGCTCAAGATCATAGAAGAATAGCTCGGTTGGCCTCAAAGTCACTTTAACTCCGGATCAAATTCATGCTTCAGTGGGATTATCGGTCTCGAGAATGACGATATCGCAGTTCATTCGATCGAACGAGCACATAAAGAATGTTGAAAATGGGTGGTCAGTTTGGTCACTATATGGCCGAATGAACAAGGAAGAGCTAGCTACGTATTTCGTACGTATAAGCGTCGGTATTGGTTCTACATGCAATTCACACGGAGACTCCCGGAAAATTCCGCGTGTCGCTAAATCGCTTGATCATGTTAAAAGCTTTTCTTTCTTCTTATATTTTGCAGTTTGTCAGTGGACTTTATTCTTAGTTTTGCAATCTTCCTCTTGTAACTTTGACGCTATATTGACATGGAGAGAAAATAAAGCAGAGTAGCTATAAGCGCTCTCAGCCTACTGCTTTTACACTCACATCGAGACTAGCGCTTACAGATTTTAGCACTGTGCTGTCTGACTATCGTTTACAAGACTCTTTGCCCTAGCTCATCACTATGACCGATGATGACGGAGTTCTCCTTCCCATACTTCTGGAATATTTTTATTTTATTTTGTTCGGCTGTTTCACATCACTTTTCTTTACTTGCTCTACAGATTTGCTAGTCAGAAACACGGAAACTCGGAGCTCCACAAAAGTTCATTGACATGGAATCATGAATATTCAGTTGGGTGTAATTCTGCAGGAGTCCACACAGCATCCGCGAGATTGGCCATATTCATCTTTTGCAAGAAGCGTTCCCCTTGATCCCAAGTTCAACATCTATTGCTTTAGGAGGCTACTGTTGATTTTAGGCGACTCCTTCTGTCTTCACATTCACAGACGACCACCCCAGCATTTTCGGTTTTATTAGGATTGCTTGGGTATAAACCTATTAAAACCTTTCCACTCAAACTTTCAACCATCACAGAATTCTTTTTAGAGCAAGCCCTTACTCCAAACAATATCCTCCACAACTATCAACAACGCTCCGCATCGATCATATAGGTTGTGGATGCCCTCAAAGAATTTGGTTGGCTGTGAGTCGAAGAATGATGCAACCCAAGAACGGACTTCGTCGATATTGTTGAACTTCTTCTGCGACAAGCCGCTATGCATCAATCGAAATAGATGATATTCCAAAGGAGCCAAGTCCGTATTCTACGGAGGTTGCGGCAGAACATTCCGGCCCAACTCTTCGTTTTGCTGAATAACCTGGTCGGGCATCATTATGAAGGAATTAGACAAACTGCCCTCAATGCCTTGAGGACGTGTTGACAGGTGTTGATTGTTGAGCGCATACTTCAGCAGTAAAGGTTTGATTGGAATCGAACACTTCAAAATGCACCAATCCTTCGTTATTTCATTATACGCGAGTAACGTCTCCTACCATGAAAATCTCTTTTCGGCGTTGTCAGAGACAGTTCACTTGACGAGATCCATTCTCGCTTCCTCGTAGAGTTGAATAAATCCATAATCTATCCGACGTCGATACCAATCATAAAATTTGGGGTTCTTGACCATTCGAATGAGTATTCCAGCGAGCTAGCGAGCACAATGTGTTTCAAATCCATTATGACCTTAAAGAAAGAAAATATTACAGAAATCAAAAATAAATAAAAAAGAAAGTAAATACAAAGTTAAATAGGAGCAAAATGGAACTAGAACTGTCTAAATTGCTGTTCGAAATTCGCAAAGTTTCGAAGGTTACGTTTATATCCGAATAACCTAATATTTTGAACATCACCATAATTCTCATTCGATATTGTGATGTACACTGTTAGCAGCATAAGTTGCCATGCAGATTGCTCTTGTTAAATGAAGCACTTCACGATAAAAACGGTTACCGATGTTTTCTTCAAAGGATAGATCTTCGCCTGAATCTGGACTTCAAGTATGGCATATGCGACAATTTTTAGTCAAACATGGTGTAGATAGTGCACAAGGAGAGCTTGAAATTTGCTTCCTTGGTATGCCACACCTAGGGGCGGGCGTGTTTCTTCTTTCTTATAGAGGCCGCACCATTCTCATTAGAGCAGGCTTGATGTAAATCCAAACAGCTTGTCAGAATGAAAAACTTTATTAAAGAATGACAACAATACTAAAACAATAATAAAATTGCAATATTAACAAAGGATATTAAGATGAAATTCTAAAAAATTTGAAGTACACTCAGTCCCAATCTATGCTGGTAGTGGAAAGCATTCTTTGCATACTGTAGCCAACATTCAGTGCAAATGTGCACATTTGCATCTTGCCCAAGTACCTTTAGATGTCGATCCTGTCGTCATATATTCACACAACCCCGAATTTACCATTTCCTAGAACCCTTACATCTCTCGGATCCCGCAGATTTTCCGCTTCCTTCGCCACTAATGCCTGCTCTGCTCCGACTTCCGTCACTTGATTCAAGATAGATGGATTCAATCTTGGAATTCTTGTAAGCCGTGTTTTTGAGACCCCTTGTCAACACGAAAGGGTATGATGCCGCTCTTTCAATTAGCAAGTCGTTGTGGTTACTTCCAACAAGAACGCTGGCACAATAATTGACTGCTTATTATCGTTGGTTGTAAATTATTTGTTTACATCAGCATGCTCCCTACTCCTAGCAACCTATAAAGAGTTACAAGAATGGAAAGACGAAGATCATTCGCCGCGGTGTTTCGAATAGAATTGAACATTGTTTGGGAATGCTTCCTCGTGAAATGCAAACGTGGAGTGTTCCGTCTTTCATTTGATAATTCCATAAAGATTCTGGGAACGAAGTTCCCATTCGGTCGAAACGGAATTCATTCAACTTGTTTACGAGGTTAGCAGTTCAAGCTTTTATGATAGCTACACCCTCACTAATCATCCCGAACTCTCCTCTTTTCCAACTTCTTCTTGGCAATAAACAAACGTGGCTATTCGATATAGGAAAGAAAAGTTCTGGTTTGCAAGCTTAAGACAGAGGGCGGGAAAACGCTGGCTACAGTGAGTAGGGGATAGCCAATAAGATACATTCCTTGCTTAATGGAGCTGTTCTTATGTAAAAACCCACGCGATGGTAGTCATCCCTTGTCCATCCGGTCTTCATCGACGCGCTTTCGGTGCGACATTCAGTAAGTCTCGCTTGAGACGCCGATTTCGCTTTCACCCAACCCGCTGCCCCACTTTCTTTCGTACACACTCAACGTTAACATGCACTCTATCCTCCTGATTACAATCGGTTAGTTTATTGCTTCTTTTTATGACTCGGAAGCCATCACAATCTGTTACTTGCAATGAATTAATGCAGTGCCCAATAAACTTACCATCAGCGGTGACAAACCGTGTGCTGAACGAGATAGAGGATATCGTTTCTTTTGACATGCCGCGTTTCGGGAGAAGAATCGGTGTTTCCCAATGAGTTATAGGATCTTTCTTTCATCATTCCTTTTAGCTCGAAATTTTTCCCGTATTTTCATATTCGTCATCCAAACATAAAGGATGAAGGATAAAGTCTCTGGGCGTTGATCAATCCCGTTTGAGGTATGCGCCCCCGCAATCGACTTCCATTCAGAATCGTAGTGGCGTAATGAGTAGGTATGTGGCCTATACAATGACTTGCGAAGGCGGAAAAATGTACAAGACAGTGCTTTTGTCCTCCCAGACGAGTCTGGTTTCCTTCACAAAGTTGCATGTCATGTAAGGGATAAAGAGTTTAGTACCAATTAACCGACCACGGAGGGATGGGGGTAGGGGGGCGGAGGGGGGGAAGCTTGGTTTTCCTAGGCTGGTATCGATCCGGGGTTCAAAACCGTGACCATGCGTGAGTGATAGTCGTAACCTACCACTACACCACCTCCGCCCTTAGTAAAGCCGTGCCTGTAATCGTAGTATTACATTATACAAATGTTCCTATTCCTCTGAATTTTCTCTACCCATCAGAATTGACGGCTGCACTGAGCAGAGGAAAACTATTTTGCATTTTCTATGAAACAAAACGAATGCGAAGAATAATAATGTTGTTTTCAGTACCGCTCGTTTTATCGAGAGCGACTGAGAAACCTCAGCTGATACCACCATGTCCGACAGGCTCTCGACCGCTTCTTCGACCTGATGGCGAACCGCGAAAATGCCTTCCACATCAGAACAGCCTCTGTGTGAATGCTTTACCTGATAGGGTACGTCCTGAACTTAAGAATAGATAGCGGGCAATAAGGCTTATACTAGGGAATTTCTTGCTCCTTTTTCGCTGTCTTTTTTGTATCTCGTTTTTTTTTCGGTTGATTCAAGTCTTTTCTATTATCACAAGGCCACCAGGCCCTCTTATGAACTGATACTTCTGAGCCGAATATTGGCCATCAAAGGCAATAATGTCATTGATTCTTCACACTAGCATTGACATTTTCCCGGGCACAAGTCAGTTTTCGACTGGCACGTCAGCGTCAGGAAGAATGGACATGAGGAGCAACATTTCATGTAGGACCATCTTCGTAAAAGAACTGCTCACCTAGAATAGGTTTCAATTGACTAAGAATCGATTTTAATTCCCTTTAACATCCTGATATAGTTATCGAACTTTTCGAAGGATAGCGAATGTTATCAGATCCAACTTTACAGTCCACCAGGCCATTAAGCACTAGCAATGAAGGGCTGAACCTGACAAAAAAATGACTAGTTAGCTCTTTCTGCATCATTGCATGAAGTGGGTTTTTCCCTGTTTTGTAGGTGAAAAGTCGTTTCTCATCATGGTCCCAACACTTCAACAGTGTCGGAATGAAACCTACTGCATTTTCAAACTTGGCCAAGAGCTGGACTATTTTGCTTACCGTAACTCCGATCTTCTTATTCTCTGAGAAACGTAAGCAATCTTGGCGGGTTGCTGCAGTTAATTCCATTAGTTTCACATGAGGCGTCCTGATGGAGCGCTTGACCATTCAAGGGAGAGAAACCGTTGCTGCTACGAGGGAATTCGGTTGAGGCATACAAGCCAATCATTATCGTTCCAGCCATTCATTATCCGAAATTTTTGTAAACGTTGCTTGATTCAGCATAATGCGACGACCGTCTGCTGTTACAACAACCAGGTGGATTACTTCTGTTGCCTCGACACTACGGCTGAAGAATGTCCCTACTACGAGCATGTAAGCTGCTTTGTTCTTCATAAAAGATTGAAGAGTTCATAAGTTTGTAGTAGAAAATGTAATCAGCTCTATGGGAGACAAATAATGAATTGGCTTCAATCAAATTTAATCTGATCGAATTAATCAATTCACTGCTGCAACTGATGAGCTTGAAACCGTCCTTGCCTGCAGGCGAAGTATTTCTGGGTAAGCAGTTGCTGTGAAACAGAACGCAATTTAAATTTAGAGTACTCCTCACTTGGGCGCTGCAGTTTACAGAACAGAATATCTGATATCTCGTTCCTATTCAGTACGACATTGCTGTTTTGACCAAATTCTTCTCCATTGCGCTTTAAACTGCAAAGTCCGAATGGAACAGTTGTTTTGACTGAAGTCACAGCAATTCCAGTACACTATTATTATTTATTGTTATCACTATTAGAATCTCTTCCTAGTGATGACCTGTCGTCGAGCTATTGACTGCAATTTCTCTCTTCTTAGCCCAATTACTTATTTTCACGGTAGATCGCTTGAATTTCGTAAAATCTAACTGCAAAGGGAGTTATGCGATTCCCACAATTTATGTCAGTACAGATTCAAACGGAAAAAATACTGCGCTCTGGGTGAGGACATTTATCTCCGAAATCCCACGTTCGCGCGCAAGCACGCGGCGAATCGATGATACTAGCCTCGCGGCATCAAACTGCAAGTATCGTACTGGATTCGCCCCGATATCGTTGACATATGACTAGCAAATTACCGCCTCTAATCATCCTTCCATCTACGACACGCGACGGGTGTGGCGAACGCGACGCACAGTTCGGGTTCAATTTTGCGCAACCCGTTCCCTTGAACCGGTAACGGACATGGAGGCCCTCTCCTCCCCTCTTCTCCTCTTCCCTTCTTCCGCATTGTTATCAGAGACCACACCAATCTTTGCTTACTTGAGTGAAAGCTGTACCTCTGAAGAATGAATTGTTTTACGTTGTAGAGCACCAAGAACGCTGTAACGCTGTAGGTAAGTGCTCGAACTCGAAAGGATCATCTTTGATGTCATGAAAGCAGTGACTTCATATTGTGAAAGTACTGCTATCTCTAAGAAGTGAGGTACTGATTTCCCCTCCCCCCGAATGGGCTAGCTGATCAACGCTACACGCAACAGAGGATAGAAAGCTACGTATTAAGTAGTCTCTCTGGAGGTTGTGACACTTGAAGTGATTCGGCTGATGAAAACTTGTAAGAGCCACAAATATGAATGAATGAGTTACTATCGAGAGAAACCGCTACTAATTGGAACACTTAGAATAAGTGCTAAGTGCTGTCGATTCGGTCTCTTCTGAATACATAAACCGCCGAAGCCGAAACCATTATGTTGAAGCCTGTACGTCATCGTCCTTCTTCGAAAAACCAAAACACCAGAATCGGTATAACACCATTTAATAACTTAGCCTTTGCCTCTTTGGCAACTTTCTTGACTCTGACAAAGATTTTCCAAGGGTGCCTGTCAGATTTAGCCTTTCTGCCCTATCAGATGTGCATTGCAATGGGAAATGAATATAGTGTCTGAGATTTCAATCTTTAAGGAATTTATTTATGAATTTGTTCAGGTAACAGTTGTAATCCACAATGGAATGCCTCATAATCCGTACGGAATGCGTGAATTCTTCTTCCGCGAGGGCGTCGAGGATGATGTGGTTGACGCCGCGATACAAGGTGCCAGCGACAATTTCAACGATCTAGGACTTCAACAAGAAAATGGCTTTCTCGTTCGACATAACAACGAGTGAATCAAGCTAAGCCCAACGAAAGCCCTCCTCAAAAAGTATTCGCGTGGCACTCCTTACCATGACAGCACTGCCTCATTTCTCATGTGAATAGAATTTCGTATAATTTGATCAGATCTGAGCGGTCAGTGCTAATTATAATAAGAAGTACCGCATCCTCTACAAAGTGACACCATAAACAAATAAAACAGATTTATTCAACTGTACTATTTATCTACAGTGGCACAGGTTCTGCGCAGATTGTTCGAACGTTCCGTAATGCTAAGTTCCGAGAAGTTCGCGAGAATGCGTTAATGCCTGACTTTTATGTATTGCTAACACAAAACTGAACAGTCAATAAAGTAATCCGGCATATTCCCGGAACATGTAGCCTTTTTTGGCTTCTATGACGACGAAAGGCGGGTGTGTGAAATGAGGTTGCAGTCGCCGTCGGGCAAAGTGTTATAGCCACTAGTGTGTACCTAATGATTGTGTCGGCTACAGCAAAGGCGCTCCATTTCTAATAATATCGGCTTCTAAATGATCGCTAAACACGTCATTTCTGGAAACATTGAGCGGCACGGGCGTCGACACGTTCTTTAGCCTTTATTTTGCTTTTCGACCTGCTTTGCTTTTGCTTTTTAAACTGCTTTTCGACCTCACGGTGCCCAATATGACCTTTACGAAACCATAAATTATTACCAAAGCGAAATCTCTCTGACCATCTTCATCGTGAACTTCACCCTAAGGGTGTAGAGATGAAAACGGGTGGCATTCGCAGTGGGGGTAGCATGACGAGGTCTGTAGGAGGATGGTGTGCCCTCGGGAGGGCGGTCGACTGCGTTTGATCTTCATGATGAGTATATCGAGTAATGGGACCGGAAGGGTCAACACGCGTTCGGCCGTTCCGGTTCCCATATCCCAATCACTCGTCGTGAAGACCGGTGAATCGAATCAACTAGAACCTTGAATTGGACTCGCAAAAGACCGCGACATTTCCGCACGTCGTGGAGAGCGCACCACAGCAACCACGAGCAGAGACTCAATATTTTTTAAAGAGGTCATCATTGGGCTGAAAAGGGCTGTGACATGTGGAGATTTGTACAACTGAGAGATATTCGCCCAAACTTTCCGGCGCCCCCTTCGAGTGCGTCAGCGGGAATGGGAAAAGTTTTTTTCGAATGTCATTTGGCGACTACCCCACCTCCACTGCTGAGGAATTTTTTGGACTTTTAACACCAAATATTGGGAAAGAAGTGAATGCAGGTTGAATTCAACAGAGCTTGTAGAAAAAACTGTGTGCAGTTGAAGTCATGATGAGTTTTAGGATCGTGTAAAGCAGAAAACTCATTGTTTCTCGATGCATGGGAGGCCGTTCTTCAGATCAAGAGGTCGAAGTCGGACAGCTCCGTTCGGATGTTGTGACCGTTGTGAACGTACTTGCTTTCCCAGTGACGACTGAGTCCACTAGCTGCTCACTCCTATTTTTCTAAAACCAAAACATTCTCAGAAGGTAGGTTGCAAATCGCAACTGAAATCCGAAGATCAGAAGAATTAATAGATGCCGAAACACTTCTATTCGTAATAGCTTTCGAATTCCCTGAAAGAGCCCAAGGTAGACCACAAGGAGAGTGAAGTAGCACTTTTGTTGGTAAAGAAGAGCATTTTGCAATGTTGTTCGAATTTCTCTTGCCACAAACTGAGGATTGACCTCTGTTTTTGAGGAGCATCAGTTCAGATACGAGAACGCAGCACATGGCAGATCATATTGCCGCGGAGAACATCAAGCTTACAGCACTATAAGCAACCGAGCGAGCTATTAATATGAATACAGGTTGGTTCGACTTCTCCTGCAGAAGGGCCTCTAAGTAGCCGAACCAAGAGCAAAGAAATATACTGTTGACTGTATTTATGGGGCCCCGTCCGCGTTTTGGTTGCTCTGTTAAGTCCATGTAAGTAGAGGAAGCAAAAGCTGAATAACCACTTAGGTATGACTTTCGGACCTATCACTCTCACTGATTAGCGGTTGAGGTGGTCGTTTGTCTCCACATTTACCTACATCCACGTTCTATTACACCCTATTTGGTGCAGGCCTATTCGTTAGCCTGCATAACATCTGAAGGAGGAAAAATGTCCTTTCCTCAGCTCCAACTTGAACCTCAACCTCCTGCCTATCAGTAGGAAAATCTCAAGCGAGAAGAAAGGAGTAATAGCGACCGTTCTACCAGATCAAAAAATTCGTTAGAGCCTCAACCTCAACACCAAAAACTTACCATAACCCACCCCTTTCGAGAATGAGACTGTGCCGTATATTTCTTCCCTCCCTCCTAAAAGTTCCCACAGGACATCACTAGCTGCCTGTAGGCTTTGATCTCTGTTTTTGAGGAGCATCAGTTCAGATACGAGAACGTAGCACATGGCACATCATATTGCCGCGGAGAACATCAAGCTTACAGCACTATAAGCAACCGAGCGAGCTATTAATATGAATACAGGTTGGTTCGACTTCTCCTGCAGAAGGGCCTCTAAGTAGCCGAACCAAGAGCAAAGAAATATATTGTTGACTGTATTTATGGGGCCTCGTCCGCGTTTTGGTTGCTCTGTTAAGTCCATGTAAGTAGAGGAAGCAAAAGCTGAATGGCCTCATTCGAGTGTCGAGCTAGTAGCAAAAGGAGATGAGTTTATGGGGGAAATGAACCGAATGAGTCGTGAAATGAAACTTGATAATCGGAATGCTTAGGCGAGTTAGGGATTACTCGATCTGTTAGGACTGACAAACTATGTACGTAAATCCTTCCACTCTCGCACACGTCCCGCAACTTCCTATTCGTGAAGTAAGAAGAGGGAAAAGAAAGAGGGATTTCCGGAGAAGTTGCGGAATCTCGCTGCCTCCCATTTGTCTTACTGAAAACCGGACCTCTTGTAGATTTCTCCGGCATTCAGAAACAAGTGTCTCAGCTGCACATATTGGCCAGGGTAAAAAATATAGGTAGGCTAGAAATTAAGCGGGGCACATCTGAACTGACTTGGAGCAGTTGACGATTGTTTACCTGCAGAAATCAAAAAATCATCAATAGAGAACCTGCCAGATGATCACTCAGCACATGCTATTGCAATCGGAGAGTCGATCACCTAGATTCAATGGCGATTTCATGGACCAACCCATTCCACATAATCGGAGTTTTTTGCGAAACGTACACATAGATTCTTCATCCGATGTTCTTCGAATGAATGGAGTCCTGCCGGCCTAGCCACACTCTGATTGGCTCGAGTAAATCTAAATTTTTGGGTTTATTATGAGGATGGCCATATGGTGCCATGCTAGGAGATTCTGGCTGGTCATAGGCAGATATGCCACATGTCGGGAACGCGACCATGACTCTGGTCAGGTTTGAATAACTTTTTTCAAGTATTGAATTCTATGTGTTTATCTGTTTCAGTTGTTTATATCGTTAGTTCAGAAAGATCACGTGACACGATGCCCTCTGTGGGAATTGCGTGGGCTGGGGATCTTCGAATCCCGCGCACAACCGATCGTCTTTGGTCCCGGGTATATAAGCCCGCCAATCCACGTCGGCAATCAATCAGTCTCATCCGGCACGATCTCATCCTTTTTTGTCTCATTGGTATTGTTTTTGTTTTTAAGTTACATTACAAGTTCATTATTGTGGTTTAATTAATTTTAAATCGAGGATCGCCCACGAATGCGTAGAAACAGTGACTGCGAGCCAGCGTCGATGTTGCTGGTGCGAAGCCTTCAGCTTTGGCAGCTAAGCTGGCCAATAAGTTCGTTCCTGCACAACAAAAGACTATTAGAACGAAGCCAGCTGGAGAAAGGGAGTATTAGCTGATCAAAAATGAAGTCCTCTGTCGCCCTATGGTAATCAGTACGAAGTCTTGGAGTTCTTGGGTAAAGGGACTTTTGGGCAGGTTGTGAAGGTGTGGAAGAAAGGTACGAGTGAGATCGTAGCTATCAAAATTTTGAAAAAACGTCCTAGCTATGCAAGGCAGGGACAAATTGAGGTTTCGACGTTATCGCGACTGAGCAACGAAAACGCAGAGGAGTTCAGTTTTGTGCGAGCTTTCGAATTCTTAAAGCACAAACGTCACGCCAGCCTTGTTTTCGAAATGCTCGAACACAACCTTTACGACTTCCTCAAGCAAAATAATTTCACCTCTCTACCTCTTAACAGTATTCGTCCTATCCTACAGCAGGTTCTTACAGCACTGCTTAGACTGAAGTCTCTCGGCTTGATTCATGTCGATCTCAAGCTCGAAAACATATTGCTGGTCGATCCTACTAATCAGCCTTTTCGAGTGAAAGTAACCGATTTTGGATCGGCTCGTCACCGGAGTAAGGCCGTCACTAATACTTACCTTCAGAGCAGATGTTATAGAGCACAAGACGGCAAGATATGGTGCATCGGCAGTTCAACCAAGAACTCAAGTCAGGAATTTAATCTACTTACTGATTGAATTCTTTATCAAGTCAGGTTATCAAGTGAATAGTGAACTATCAAGTCAAACGTAACGAAAAAGAACCCAATCAGTCAGTAGGCGAAGCAACTAAAGTTCTAAACCAAGTCGAGTCACGTTAATATAAAACGGCATAGTAATTTCTACTGCAGATATGAGCGCGCAGCTATCTGCAGCAGAGCGACTCCTCACCCGCTTCGGGAACAAGTTGCTACAAACAATAGGTCTTACAATGAAGAAAGACTAGAGTTTCTACAACCGGAATCGGGAGACGGCTCAGCAAACGTGAACAGGAAGCATCTGGGGCAGCTGGAAGAAGCCGTCAAAGCAGTCGACTCATGGACCAGCCAAGTTGAGGCTACACTGGAGAAGTTTCTCTCGTTACGAGACTTCCTCTCTGCCAGACACGGACCCGAACAAAACCGAGAGGTACTCAATTCGTGCCGAAGACTGCATAGCCACAGCCGTTGAATATGTAGTGCTCCTCAGAGCCAGAATAAGAGCAATCAAGTCAGCCGAAAGCATGGAGCCAAGAGAAAACATGCAACAGGCAACGCAGGAGACTCATGCTGAAGCCGCTCTGCCCCGAATGGTTGAACTTCCAACTCTACCCATACCAAAATTCAAAGGAAACATTTGGAACTGGGAAAATTTTTGGAAATTGTTCAACGCAAACGTGCACTCGCAGAAACTTCCCGAACCATTCAAGTTCAATTATCTCCTAGACGCGCTTCAAGGAGAAGCCAAGGAATCTGTCCGCAAGTTCCAAGTGACTGAGGACAATTACTTCGAAGCCATAGAATTCTTGCATACCCTCTATGGCTCGAGAGAAGAGTTGATACGGAAGTTGATCAACAGATTGGAAAAGTTACAACTACGAAGCCAATCTCTTAAGGACCAACGTTCGCCCATGGAACAAATGCAGGTAATCATCGAACAGCTGAGAAGGAAAGGGGAACTAGTCGATAGTTAATGGATGACTAAGAAGATCTTGTCGAAATTCCCCGAGGAACTTCAACGAAAAGTCCTCTACAAAAAGGAAGTCGCCTTCATCAAATCAACGACCACTTTCGATGCTACGTCTCTTCGACCTGATAAAAGAGGTTCTCTCTGGAGAAGAAATGAACCACGCCTACCTAGATAAAGAAGCAAAAGTACCTCTTCGCAGTGCAAACGAGCGGGAAACAGTTCAGTACCGCAAAAATCGAATGTTTCCATGCATGTATTGCAAAATGGGCAACACACCAGCAGCTTGCGGAAATTTGAGAACACCGCAAGAGCGGGCGCAGTACCTGCGAGAAAAGGGTTTGTGTCTACTGTACGCATCCGCGGAACATGCAACAGCGGACTGCAAAATACAACCGTGCTTCCGCTGCAAAGGCCTACATCAAACTTCATGCTGTTTTACGCCTATGGCAAATTAGAAAGCATCTTCCGCACAGCGCTGTGAAGACAGTCCACATTCGAAAACCCAAACGCAGCCAAAACGGCTGGAAAAAAGAACTGGGAAAAAACTACCAAAGACGTCAACGAATGTGAATCTGGTGGCGAATAAAAATATAAATACAGAGACAAATGTAGAAGAGCACAGTCACAATGAAGGGTGAATTTTGGCCATACAGCCATCAAGTGATCGTTTGGAAACCCGCAAGACGTTCCTTACTCTGGGATATCTCTGTGGTGAATCAAACTAGCAGAAAGTTTCAAAAAGTTCAAGTGCTAATTGATACAGGCGCTGAAATGTCTTTTATAGAAAATTGTTCATGCCCTGGCTGAAGAGCTATGCCTGCCATTGGCCGGCATAGCTCTTCAGCCAGGGCGTTCGAACATATCGGGTCAGACTATTTTGGGCCCCTCTATGTGAGCAGCTCTACGGGGGAAAAAACAAAGTGCCTCGGATGTATAATCACTTGTATGGTCACACGGCTGATCCACCTAGATCCCGTTTTCGACTCGTCAACGACATCTTTCCTACACATGCTGAGACGACTCTTCGGAAGAAGGGGAATTCCCAGTTCAATAACAAGTGACAACTCCCCAACATTTCTACTAGGTGAAGAGATCGTGCGGGAAAGAGCAGAAGGAGCTCAGATCGACCCTGCCATAGCTCAAGAGTCAGGCCACAGGGAGGTGAAATGGAGACATATCACTCTTTACGCGCCCTGGCAAGGCGGGTTATATGGAAGGCTCATCAAGTCCGTAAAAGCAAGCCTGGACCACGCTAGGAAGGTCAACGCCACTGTTTGAAGTGCTACTCACGATTGTGACTTTTCTCAACACCCTCCCATTGTTGTACACGGACTCAAGGTTTGGATCCAGAGAGCATTCTGAGACCAATTGACTTTTTGAAAACCACTTACAGGTGTACTTTCCGTTGGAAACCAGCAAAGAAGACATCGAGGACCTCTCCTGCTTACCATCAAAAGAAACTCGGGCATTTCGAACGAAACAAAAACAAAATTCAAGCCTTGCAAAGTTCAGTGAGCTTAACGGAGCGGGCATGGAGTGTATGGCAAACTCAGTACCTAAATCATCAGGACACGTGAAAACGAGAAAAGGAGAAGTGCACTTACCTCGAGAAGGAAACCTCGTCCTGATTTGGGATGAAGTTCAACCACGTCACTCATGGAAAATGGGACGAATAGAAAAGTTATGTCCTAACACACAAGGAGTCGTACGGGAAGCAATTCGTCTTCCATCGAGACGATTCGCACGGCGTCCGATCAACTTGCTGATCCCACTAGAACTCGAGGGGACCACAAAGGACGGAAGCGACAGAGAATGCAATGAGAATGTTGAAGGACCGAGTGCTAGCCCGCGCTACAATCTGCGCCCAAGTCGACCAGCAGCTGCTTCACTAACTCCAATAGGGTAGCTGAATTTATGTGCTGTCTATAGCTGTCACCCTTGGTAATCCCACAACTGATAATGCGCCTATTATCACACATTCTAAACAGTCCAAACAAAATAAAAACTTACTAAATTTTGAGTCAAGTAAACAATACATGAACTGCCGCATCATTTTTAAGTATGGCCCAAATTTCAGACTGGAGTCGCGCAATTTGGAGGAAGGCCCGAAGTACCTTTCTCGAGTGATCATTGAGCCCATCCCCATCGCACAAAGAATAGAGAATGATATGGCTACAACTCTTAATGAAATACGCAATCAAGCAACTGTCGCCACAACAGTTCGAAGCGAGTGGTTCCATACTCTATGTAGTGCAAGTCTTCACGAGATGACAGCAGCAGAATGAGTTCATCTCTTGAACCACTTTTTGCTAACTGTCAGGCTTACAAAAGAACGACTTCTCCGGTTAGGAACACGCTATGTTTTGATGAATCGACTCTACAAAAGCAGTGTACAAGGAGACGAGGAGCCAGCGAATCGAATGGAGTAGTGGTTGCAGATTGAAGATACCCAAGTGCAGATCAAAGAGGTTACGGCCATCATGTAGAAAGTTGCCCGACGCTTGGAAACAACTATGAAGGAAATAAAGGAGTATATGGCAGCTGCAGATCGTGAGCTCAAGTCTAACCGTCATCAACTGGAAGCGGCAGATATACTCACAAAGAGCGTACAAGCCTTGGAGGATAAACTAAAGACGATGCCGAACCAGTCAAGTGATGATAAGATCAAGGTTCTTCATGAAAGGCTCACTGCCTTGGAAATGACCCAAAAACCTACAGAGCCTCGAAAAGGCGAATCGCTGGCAATTCAAGTTGGTGTCAATAAGGGACGCACGGTCGTCGTACAGAAGGGCACGCAAGATGCGATAAAGAAAGAAGATCCAAAACAGTCACTTCCGATTCAGGTCGAGGAAAAGGATGATAAAAAAAGCCACGATAAGCGACGAGCAATATTTTGGACGCTTGATACTCGAAACGAGGGAAACGAAGCAGAAAGCGAAGGATCGTACGTCATCATCAAGTAATGAAGAGGCAATCCTAAGACAAGAGCCATCCAAGGAACGTCAGATCCAGTTGCAGAGGAAAAGAACTTCCAGCGACAAAGAACCTATCGCCATGGTCGGTCAAAGTTCGACTGAGCCTCCTATGCATCACAAAAAGGTAGAATTAGCGTGACAATACATCCAAGTCTAAAAAATAAGTCCAAAGAATTGTGCTGAGAGGTCCGTGCGATGGAATTTGCCCTTGCCAAGTACCCGCACAGAAAAATAGTCCAGTAGTCTACGGGACCTCAGTCAAGTACAGAATGCATCATCTGTGGATCCATAGGGATCCATCATTCGGCTACAGTGTTTGAAACCTCACAATGGTGCATGTACGTCAAAAGAAGACGGCTGTTGGTACCGCCGGCCACTTCGCGAGGCCCGGTTCGAGAACATCGTACCACTGTATCGCCACCATCGCGCCCAATGTCCAGTCCCCGACGCTAAAAGAGATCCACGTGAAAGAATTCCGGTAAAACAAAGAGAACTAGTGGAAACGGAATGTAACCGGGCCTATTCGTCAAGGGCCGCAATGTCGCGACCATGACTCTGGTCAGATTTGAAGAACTTTTTCAAGTGTTAAATTCTATGTGTTTCTGTGTTTCAGTTGTCTATATCGTTAGTTCGGAAGCATCACGTGACAAGATGCCCTTCGTGGGAATTGCGTGGGCTGGGGATTTTCGAATCCCGCGCACAACCGAACGTCTTTGGTCCCGGGTATCTAAGCCCGCCAATCAACGTCGACAATCAATCGGTCACATCCGCACGATCTCATCCTTTTTTGTCTCATTGATATTGTTTTTGTGTTCAAGTTACAAAACAAGTTCGTTATTGTGGTTTAATTATCCAAGTTTGAGGTAAATTGTGAAGTCAAGCCGTGTTGTGTACTACAGTCTATAACATTCGCGTGGCAAAGGCGAGCAACTAGCAAGAGCACAAGAAGGCAAGATACCATATTATCGTCGAAATGAGCCACTTTGTGAAGGTGCCTTTGTCGCTTCAACTGCTAGTGGCTTTATTGACAACCATAGTGTTGAAAACCACCCATTCTTATGAGCCATTTACATACCACCCATATAGCTCTTGTCAGCTACAATCGGATGCGAGAATCATGAAGGAAATAGAGGTCGACCTTCGTTACTATTGAAGATCTGACTTACTGGGCAGAACCTCCAGAAGCCACAATTTTTTCGGGGTCATGGACAAGAATACGAAGGTGTGCAGGAAAACTTATAAAGTCTCCACGTGAATTAAAAACCCCTCACGTAGAGATACCAGTCGTTTCTCAATCACCATTACCCAACTGCTGCTGATCGCTTATATTGATGAATAGCATAATTACAGCGATTACAATTTTGCTTTTGCTTCCAATGGGAAACCAGTTTGGGAGGGAGTGACGATAGAAACGACACATACATATGTCAAGGTTTTTGGACTTGCTTATGTTATTAACAAAGCTCTTCATCGATCACAGGGAGATTTCGAGCAAGGAGATTTTATATGACCAAGTGTCTTCCGACAGGTGTCAGCTGTCATGTTCCAATGCGTCTGAGAAGAACATTGTTGCCATTCGGCTACTGAGGAATGATCAAGTACCTTTAAATGGAATTGAGATAAGCATAAGTTTACCGCTTTGAAAATATACGCCGGCTGGTGTAAAGGGGGGTTTCAACATTTCAAGGAGAGATTTCAAAAGTTTACTTCAGATTAATAATTGCTCTATATGGAGCAGCCGAACCAATTCAAGAACTGTACTACTACCCAGGTTTTTGTTGTCAGCAAGTGGCAGACTGCCAGAAGAGTAGTGTCACGTGCCACTGATATCATAAGTGGGAAGTCAAGTTCGAGGTCCTGCTTCCTTTGGAGAGAGGATCCTCTGGAGTCGACCATCACTCGAAACAGCATTTTCCTACAAATCTGTAGAAAATGAAGTTCTTACAACAACATTTTAATTAACTGGCACATTGTTTAGTCAGAGTTCGGAGTTCACGAGCCATTTCGTCTAGCAACTATGGGACAGCGTGTCCAGCTCATCTGGTTATTCTGATACTCGACTCGAACAGCGAGCAACATTTGGCAGGAACTATAAAGGAACTCCAAATTTCTCTCCGCACCTGTCTATAACATGTAGAGTGAGCAGTGGGTGAGGCTTTGTCAGCGATCGTCGTGGTTGCTCACAGTCAGAGTGCAATTCACCGACGCTTACTTTGGGGTCAGGAATGAACGTTGAGAAACTAAGAAATGAGGAGGAAAATAAAATGCCAGCTGTTCTTTGCTTTCTCTCTCTCAAAAATTTTATTACTCTCAAATTGCGCCTCCATTGTTTTTTTTTTGTTTCAATCGTTGTCGAAAGCAATGATGAACAAGTCCACTTCTTAATTGGCAGAATTTTACAATATCTGTATCACAACTGCAATAACTAAGCCTAATTCATACTTAGTGGCATTGTCCATTATAATTCGAATATCAACAGACCGGGGCGGGGAATCATTCACTATCTGTGGATTCGGCCGCGGAAACCACTACCAAGTCCTGGGGAATATTGCCTGCATGTGAAAGGCAATTGGAGTTAATTTCATAAAAACGGTTGTACATTTCACTGCGAACTGGTGATCAGAGTAATCAGCATTGCTTGAAATATGTAAAACAATCTGTTGTAGTAGTGAAACCTAAAGGTACAGTTCGGGATAATATTGAGGTGCCCTTCATTATTGAAAAAGCGGAGTTATAGGTTGGGAGCAATTCATCGGTAGTGAAAAAAAGCGAGAAAATTCGCCAACTTCAACAAAAACAAGGCTCCTCGAAAGTGGGGGAAATAGAGGCTGGACGAGATTCCCATGACGGAAATAACATAGAAGGGGTATTCGGACAAGACTTCAGTTATTGTAATTGCGCAGAGAGCTGACTTCATAAAACCAGCTATGGGTGATGACAGGTTGGTTGGGCCTCCTACATGGGTTCCCTTGTGAATTGCGCAGTCACTCCAATGCCGGTGAAACTCGTCCGAATATATATACGATACAAAAGTTGAGCCTTCATAACGCCCTAATTAAGCAGTTTCCCGACCTGAGAACGCCAGATATGGTAGATAAGGGGGCCTCGAATTCATCCTATGGGGAATCTCAGAAACCATTTTTAGCGTGAACTGTGCCTTTATTAGTACCATTCAATTGTAAAGAACAGCAATTCTCTAGCATCTTCAAGAAAAAGGTCTCTCCAGCGATGTTGGCAAAGTTGGATTTTGCGATGAGCGGCTATTCAGGAAACGGGATCCAACAAAGGGGGGGGGGGGGGGGGAAAGTGGCTCCTCGTGCACACACTAACTTTGAAATGTATTTCTAGAGCAGATTTTCAAGATAGGGTCTCAACCCTCAGCTTTCGTTTGTTTAGTTCACATGGAGCTAGTGAAACAACGTGAAAATGTCATTGTAGTGTGCTTCTGTCAGGCAACCTTTTCGCCCATAGTCGAATTCAGTCTTTGATAGCCCTTGTTGTTGTCACTGAGCAGCTTCACTTTCTATGATTTGTTTTGCTAGAGGGAATGAACTTTCATGCTCTTCAAGGTTCTGACTACAAGTGAGTTTAGAAAGCAGTTTTTCCCTGTTGTAATCTTTTTCCAAGTGTCAGAATCGAAGTCCCTTCTCCTTATTGCATTTTCTTGCAATTTCAAGCTGACAGCAGTCCCGTTGCTATTGTTAGTGTAGTCCTCCGCTTTTCTGAGAGCATAATGGAGAACGGGAGGGGATCATCCTTTGACATTACATATTCTTTACTGCATGATTCTTACATAGTTAACCTCGCCATCCTTTGAATCAATGTTTGCAAACTGTCATCAGTCACGCCGCCATCAGTAACAGTTACAGGTTATCCTTTGTTGCCCTCACGTCCCTCTGTCATCTGTCGTTCTGCCAAGAAATATAACTTGGAGAAGCACCCGAAGAGATCGAATTAATTTTGGGAGAGGGGGGGGGGGCATAGGGGATTAGCGTCGTGAAGGGTGGGCGGTATTGAGTAAATTATTTCACAAGCCGGCTCCACGTAAGGCAAAACGTATTTTGAACTTACACAGAATGTGACTTGTGCCATGCATGCCCGAACAAGCCAAGATCGACCTACGATGAGGGTGGAGTCTCTCTAATAAAATGCGCATTTTACAAAAATTCATAGCTCTATTAGTAAACGGTCTAGTATGTACACGGGAAAAGTGGTCAAGGGATACCAGAGGAGGAGGGGTCAACGCTTCATGGTCGGTCGATTATGTGTCAAGGTGGGCGGAGTTAGGATCAAAAATCCATGACACTGTCAAACTCTGCATGTAGAATCCGATCAAATGGTCATCGAAGGGAATGCCAGATTTTCATAATCAAGGGGTCAGAGAAGGCGCGTGTCGAGGTTGGCATAAGTGCGACAAAAAGTTCATATCGCTATTCACAATCGGTTTTTGTTGTCACGCACGTGCTAACTTGCTTCAACTCAGTTGGTTGCATAATAGTTCGCCTGCTAGCGAGTTGTCAGACTAGTGTACTTACGTATAGCGTCGGTTTTCCACGTCGTAATACTTTTTTTACATTAATTTTTTTGATTTTTATTTTTCAGTGGTGCATTTTCTATGTCTACATAACATTGATTCACTTGATTTGATGGGATTCACAGCATTGACTGCCCTTTACTATCCCTTGCGTAGCTCAGCTCAGTATCCAAAGACACAGCAAACCTTCAAAGGCTCGAACTATTCTCAAGCGATCCCCTATTCTCTTTCGGCTCACTGGAGCTCTAAATTTTGTCTGGTAAGTTTAAGGCATAGGCCTGACCAACGACAGAGAATCTTACGAACATCGTGGATTGCCTCTCTAACTACTGCTTCGTTTTCTATAATGATTGACATTGCAAATTTTTCACCTGAGGGTTTTTCATTCGTTACTGGAAGTATCATGGGTGGTTCATTATATAGTATGACACTTCTACACTCGCATAGTCACAGG